CAAATATCATTAATATAATTTTTGAATTACCAAATTCCATTATTACATGCACTGCCGGGTTCAAATTAAAGTATGCAAAAAAATTCAGCAAGCGAAAAAAACTAACGAAATATAACAAAAAAAAATCAAAATTGTCCCAAATTTGAATAGGGAGTTTTAAATAAAGTGGGAAGGCCTCACAAAAAATGAGGCAAAAAAAAAAAAAAAAATGCTCGGGAAGGCAGCCTCTTCCCCGAGTGCCTCTTCCCCGAAAGTGCCTCACAAAAAAAATGCTCGGGGAAGCGCCTCTTCCGAAAGTGCCTCACAAAAAATACTCGGGAAGGCAGCCTCTTCCAGTGCCCTGTCACGCACTCGAGAAAGGGCCTCTTCCCAGTGCCTTGCACTCGGAGAAGATTTTTTTTAAGTTTTAACGGCTGGCGGGGGGTGGTTTGTCAAGTAACATGTTTCTTTCCGAGTGCGGTCTTCCGAGAGTGTTGCACTCGGGAAGAGGGCCTTGCCGAGTGCTGCTCTTTGCGAGTACCGGGGATCTCTGCGGCACTGGAAAGCCTCTCTTCCCAGTGCAATTCTTCTCCGAGTGGAACACTGGGAAGGTCTCTTTCCGAGGCCCGATTTTTTGCACTTTTCGGAGAAGCCAGCGACACTCGAGAATTTTGCCTCTCCGTAGTGTCTGCTTTCGAATCCATTTTGCTTTGTGGATCATGAAAATCTAGAACGGTTCGAGCTCAGATAAGCTTTCTTCATGGAAATCATCATTTTGTTCTGTTGGGCTATCCGGATCTGCCCTACACCTCAGATTATCTGATATCTGTTTATCTATAGACTTGGATTTGCTTAAATCGTAGCCTAGTAACTACAAGGAACCCGATCTGTTGGACAAAACTTTATATTAACCACACATCATCACCTCATTAGTACATACATATCATGTATATGTGAATCAGTGAACAAACTGTATGTTGTTTATTGCTAATTTCCCTATCTTTCATCTGGCTCACGAGCCAAACGAGCCAGCTCGAGCTGGTTACCGAGCCGAGCCGAGCTAGACTTTTGGCTCATTAAGATAACGAGTTAGGATAAGGAACTGGCCTCCTACCGAGCCGAGCTGAGCGAGATAGCGAGCTATCTCCATATCTTGCCCTACAAATCATATCATTGTTGTCGTCATAAAACATATAAAGAAATCAAACATATAAAATCGTGGACGGGCAGAAGCCAAACCGACCAACCGTGGGGCAGCGGCACTGGGGCCAGCCACAACGCTACCGGGCGGCAGTCTGGTTGAGCCACGGAGGCGGAGCTAGCGGAGCCTTGAGGTGTGGGTTGCGTGAGGGCGGGTGGCGGGTCGATGCTGGCTGGGTAGGGGCGGTCGCTCGTGGGTCGCATCAGGGTCAGGTGGGAGCGAGGGTTGCGGACTCGCGCTCGGGGTCCCTTCCTCCTGGGCTGAGACAGGGTGACAGGGTGAAACTGAAAGAGGGGCATTTGAGCCAAATTTTCTTGGGCTCTGTAGACTAGGAAAAATTTTGTACCAAAATCCAGGGTAGTCCTAGGTCTACCTGGATGACTTATTGGATCCGCCCCTGGGTGGCGCTCGCAAACCCCAGAGCTCCCTTGCGCCGATCATATCGGTCATCCCGATGAGAAGGCCTTGTACGTCGAGGAGGCGGAGTAGACGCCATCGGTCGTCACACCGCCACACAAACCTGTCAGGCACTGGTGGAGAAAGATGCACCTCATCCAACATACCCCAAAGCATGACGTAATCGCACAGCTGTGAACAAGGCCGGAGCGAACCTTCTCACCGGACCAGCCAGCAGCCACAAGTCACACCAGAAACTCGCTGATCCCCTGTCGCCGATGACTACTAGACCGACGTGGTGTCACATCTAGTTTTAAAAAACAAAATCGAATGCTAACTATATGCATGCAAGATAATGTTCAAATTTGAATCAATAGCCAACAATGTTCACATTTCATACCGAAACTAACATAGGAGGAAATATAACCAAATGTATCTACGTTGACTTGTCTTTTGTGGTGCTCATCCTTCAAAAAGCTCTTGCAACATCTCTTCCAGGTTCTGGGGAGTGAGTTTTGTGGTGGAAACTTTGTTGTCCTCAATGTACCTTGTATAGCCTAGAATGATTTCCATAGTGATAGCATCGCGCATTCTTTTTCTCAGCTCAGGATCCGGGACCTTCCACAACTTTTGGGTCGTACAGATTTTCTCAAATTCATACTCAAACTTAGGCAATGGAGAGTAGCTTTTCCCGAAGCAATGAGGTGTAGGATTGAGCAAACATGACAACACTGGCACCCAACACAGTTTTAGATAGGCCTGTATGTAGCCCTCGATTCTTCGATCAAGGGCTGCGAAATATGAGTGTAAGAAGTTGTTGCCGTATGTAGTTTGAAGTTGCTGCAATATGTAGGTTGAGTTGTTGATCAAGAACATGTATCTGAGGCCCTGGTCTGTGAAGGATTGCGACATTTTGGCAAGTTTTTCTTCAAGACAGGAGACCATCTCAATTGTCAGGCTGGCTAAAGGATTACTAGTAGTGTCTCCAGTCTCAGTGACATGCTTCTTATTACCAAGGCTGAACACAATTGAGGTCACTGACCAGTAGTTAGCCCATAGGTACCTGATGTGGTGGATTACAGACAGAGTGACCTTGTGAATGTCCGATGATCCCTGCGTAGTCATCACGGAGTCTTGGCCGTCCTCCTCCATGGACTCCATGATCAGAGCCCAGATCTCCTGCATTGTGCCCCATACGGCCTCAGTCGCCTTGTTGTCCTTGGCATACAAGAGGTTGATTATCTCGCCCCGAATCCTTTTAACCTCTTCCGACTCCGAGGGCATCGAAAGGAGTAGCACCTCGACCTCGAAAAAGGCATTGGACAGAGCGTCGAGCACACGCAGCAAGATACTGATCTTCTGGTATAGTGCTGGTGCTGGCACCCCACTGCCATTGGCAACAGAAAATTCACAAATGGTATTAGGATCCAGAGCAACTAGGAAGTCAACAAAGCAAGCATTTTCAGCATGGTTTCTTGGATAAACCGTGCAAACTGAAACTGATCCGGAATACAGCTCTCAGCCTCCTCTGCCTTTTCTTCTTTCTGTATTTGGTTTTCCCCCCTTCTAATAATGTAATTCGACAACTTTCTTACCGATTTTCGAAAAAACCCTTCTTCTTCTTCTTCTTCCTCCTCCTCCTCCTCCTCCTCATCCTCCTCCCAAATACTGGGCATGCCCTCGAATCCACGGTCAGAAAAGAAAGATGGGGTGAGACGAATGGTTTCCATGATTTCGTTGAGAGCCCGGATCCAGCTTCGTGGATCCAAAGTATGGTCGGGCTGTATCACGGCTATAGACGCATCAACATCAGAGATGTGGAGCACCCAGCCGACGCCCAGCTCTGTGAACCACCTCTCCAGGACGCTCATGTCGCCGCTGTCGATTGTGCAATTCGCGGACGACGACGACGACGACGCACCAAAGAATTCCTGGACCAGGCTCTTGATGTTGTTCATCCGCTTCTTCTCCGTTTCTTTGCGGGCCTTGTTGAGGGTATATGTACCGTCGTCTTCGTCGTCGAACAAGTACAAGTGCAGGCTAGAGCCGCTAGATCTAGATGTGTTGGTGGTCGAGACTATGGTACCTGATGAGGAGCTGCTAATAACTGTGTTGGAGCTGAAGCCGGTCGTCTGCTTGTGGTTGGCGGAGGAGGACGGATCAAAGATAAGGCGCGCGCGTGAAGATGCAACAACAGCTAGGTCGTTGGAGCTCCTTGCGTCGAATGATGATGGCATGGGCGCCGAGAGAGACACACGACGACGAAGCCTGCCGCTGGATGGGGAATCAGAGGTACGATCCAGCATACCAGCGGCTCTGCCGCCACTGCCACCATCCATGCTGAATTGCTGATTGCTGATTGCTGATTGCAGAAGCTAGCTAGCTACTCGAGCTAGCAACCGGCGATATGATCTGCGTTGACTTACACGGGTTTGGGGAAGAACTCAAGTGCTAGCCGCTAGCGAGGCTACGGGAAAGTATATATATTAGAATATACGAACTTTTTCCAAAGACGCGTTGGCAATACAGACGACCATTATATTCCCGACGGCGTTCATCCAGGAAGACGACGCGTTGTGATACCGTGTAGATGGGGCAAGCCACGGACCGTTGATGCCGACTGCTCCCAGATCGTGACACCCTAAAATTTATATGATTTTAAAATAGAAGAAAATAATTTAATTATGTATCTTGTGACCATTGAAATTTAGAAAAATAATAATTTTGTTAAAAATAAAATCAAATATAGGTCTATATACATGTATGTGCATACATGCTGATGCATATTTTATTTGTGATGTTTTGGTTTGAATGAGATTTGCAAAATGATTTGAATTTTGTTGGCATTTGGAGTTGAAAATAGAATTGGAAAAAAAAACAAGAAATTCTTCCTCTCCTTCTCTGCTTTCGGCATGTTGGCCAAATTCCCGCCGACCCAGCTCGTCCAGCGCGCCCGGCTTAACAAGGCTGTTGCTCTCCTCTCCGCTCTTGGGCGTCCCACTCCCCTTGCTTTCTCGCGCAGCCCAGCAAGCAAGCCCGGCCTGCAGAGCCACGTAGCAGCTCCCTTCTCTCCTCCGTTCCGCTGATAGCGGGCCGCTCCCTTCTCTCACCGACACGACGGCCCGGTGGTCGGTCGTCTTCCTCGGCTCGTGTCCGAAAGCAGGACACTCACCGTAGCCGCCGAGACCCGCCGCCTCTACGCCCGGCGTCCCTGGCATGACCCGCACGTCGAAGCCGCCCATAAATAGTGCCCCTATGTTGCGTCGCCCCATCCCAAGACCCTAGTCACGTGCCGCCACCCTCGCTTGAGCCGCAAGAGCAGCCGCGAAACCCTGGCGCCGCCGTCAAGATTTCCGCCGAGGTCGATTCATCGCTCCGCCGTTCCTCTGCCGCCGCGACCGCATCTCCGAGCTCCGCGAGAAGGTGAGTGACCTGCATGTGTCTCTCATGCTCTCTCCCTTGCCTTCTGTGCTTGTATCCGCACCGCCGATGTTTCTCCGGCGAGCTCAAGCCGCCCCATCTAGCACCGCGTCACCCCCGGGCCGTCTTTGCCACCCTAGTTCCCTCCATCGTATTCGCCTCGTTATCCTTTTGCTCCCTGACCTTCTCCCGAGCCAAACGGTGACCGGAGTCACCGATTCGCCCAACTCCAGCGATGTCCCGTCAATGGCGCCGCCGTCTGGACTCGCCGCCGGCCACCTCTCCTTCCGATCTAGTTCCATCCGTCCGATCTGGATCGGACGATCCCAAATAGGTATTACCCCTTCGCCCGTCGTTTTGTAAAAAGGCCCTTACAATTATTTGGATCTTAACCGCCGTCCACCTTTTATGCTAAAGAGTCCCTGCACTTTTCTATATTATAACCCATAGTCAATAATGCGAATCCATAATACACCTTCTTTTAAAAGCGTAGTTTCTTTTGGTTTAGATCCAAAATACGTTTTCATCTATTTATAGTTTTGCCACTAATCTTGTTTTAGCCATAAAATATTCATTTTAACTCGATTTGATCCGTTCAACTTGCGTTAGGTTCATAATTCCATAATCTACATGATCATACTACTGTTAGGTATGTTTTCAACTTTTAAAATTCGAGGTTAGATTTAATCTTTTATTTTACTAAAGAAAATCTTGTTTAATTCATAACTTCTTCGTTTTAGCTCCGATTTTGTGATCTTCGTGGTTACGTGTGATCATAGTGAGGCGTAGATTCATTTTACAAACTTTTTATCTTGATTTTATGTTGATTGGTGTACTGTTCTAATCTATAGCTTTTGTTTGCTATGCATGATTGCTTCTTGGATGCTTGTATGTTCTTTGTGATTATTGAGTATAGATCGTGAGTAATTCATGGGTGAACAAGAGTACTACTTTTGACGGCGGGATCAGGAAGAGCACTTTGTTCAAGGCAAGTATAGCATGGGATTATCCTTATTTCCTATCAACTTTAATACATTTAATTCATGTTGCATGTGTCACCTTGATAGGGATTTTCTAGAATTGAATTTATACCTTGTCTCCTATGGGATATGCATTGGGTAGCTTTGCTAGTGCTTAATTAAACCATGACCTTGTAACTTGACTAATGGTATATGCAATAAACATTAAAATATGACTTTTTAGCAACTTAGAAACAGGGGAAATTTGGAGTGTTTAGCTACTTTCTAAATGCTTTGATTCCTCTCCCTAAAGACTTATCATGAAGTGATCATCTAGGACTTATAGTGCTTGCTGTGAGGGCTACATGGCTCGGGCTTTAGCTCAGTATGAGGACATTTTCTAGCTTGTTAGAGGTTACTTTTATTAGGCGTAAGAATGGCTTGCCGAATCGGGTATAGTGTGGCCTCTGTCCCCCATGAGTATAATTTTGTACATCAATGTGTCATCGGGAAGGGGGCTCTATATCTATTTCTTTGAGTGAATCTAATAGCCCTAACTTGTTAGACGATCCTTTGAAAGGCTTCATAGTGAACCATGTCTGCTCACCTTGGAAGTATTTTGGGAGTTATAAACCCGGGCATATGGGTGTCACGACTCACAGTGAAAGTGTACAACCTCTCTGAGTGTAAGCGGTATATCGGCCTTACTCACGGTCCACGAGCAGCCTTGGAACATTTATAGAATAGATGATCACTAAGAATTATCTGTTTATGTTATTCATTATTTGTGTTTACATTGATCATGTGTTTTACTTTGGGCTTGAAACAACTTGTTGCTACTCTTATGCTAAAATTGTGACAATTAAAAGCTGAATCTTTATTAAACCTCGTGTCAAGCCTTTTGAACCTCATGAACCCCATGTTACACTTGTTGAGTACGACACGTACTTATGGTTGTTTATTCTCATTATTTGGATAAAAATCTCGGATGGGTAAAGAGATGGCTATGGTAATGATGACTTTCACGATGAATACTAGACTTGTGGTCAACGGTTGACATCCCTATGAAATGGAGCTTTTGCAAGAGATCTTTCTTTATACTTCCGCTATATTTATGTGAAGACTATGTCTTAATATTCGTGATGTAATAAACACTTGTGATGATACTATTTATAATTTGTCGGCTTATGTGTGTGACTGATTTACGGGCGCACATAAGATTATGCATCCATTTTATCCTTAAAATCGGGTGTGACACGAGACGGATTGATGAGAGTATAATTCTTCTGATTACTTCTTTCATGTGTTGTCGGTATGCTGATGATCCTCTCAATTTGAGTAAGATTAATTTGGCCTTTGCAGCACTAGCCTCAATTCTTGCTGTTTCATTTATATATATGCTATGAAGTGCCAAGTATGATTACTGATTAGAACTTTCTAATCTTATCTTACTGTTTGAAACTCGATCTAGCGCCTTGGCACATTCCGGGTCTTAAAACCCTTCTGGACCTAGTCTTGTTCTCTACTATGTTTGAACCCTGCTGTTTGCTCAAACAGAGCAAATGTACAGGTCTAAATGTTTGGTTATAGCAATTTAATTTGAGCAGTAATCGTTGATTCCTTATGCTTACAGTGCATGATTTAGGGAGATACTAGTTCAAGGGCTTATTTGCATAGATGATTGACTAGTTTAACATCACCCTTTGTGCTCTGGTCCAAGAGGAGGTTACAAATTCAGTCTCTAGTATACCAACACCTGATGAGAGCACAAACATGATTGAAAATGGCCTTTTACTACTTGATTCAGCTGTATCGAATACTTGTGCCTGTTAGCTCAATTATATGCAACAGTGGAATTGAGCTACGTGTTTAATGTGTTTGACATTTTTTTTTTCTTGTATGTACCATTTCTGTATGCATTGAATTTGCATTGTTTGATCATTTTTGTATGACATGGAATTTCCTGGATATATCTATGTCACTGATTCTGGTACTAGGCAAAGGATACAGAGAAACTCCATGAGGAATTACCGTCAAAATCAAGCATTTTTAGGCTCATCTCACCTGACCTTTTTTAACACCTTGCTTCTCCTTTTCCCTCTGTCATTTTGGGGCATTTTGTATTTTCTCAACATATGTACAGGTAAACAGAAAGAGAAATGGGGAGCTGAGATTGTAGAAATCACATTGGTATAACCAAATATGTGTTTGCATACCTGTGTAGTTTGTTCGTTGTAAAAGGCATCTAATACATTAAAACAAGGATGCTGCTGTTTACTGTTATAGAACCACTTACTGATCTACCTCATGTGAAAAGAAATCTGATTATGCTTAAGCTTTTGGTTAATTCAGTATAGCTTAAAAAATCTCAAAACGAGCATAACCAAAGTTTTTAGTTAGTGTACACAATTTCATTTGGACAAATGACAAGTGAGACTTGACAGTGAACAATACAAGATGCTATGATTTGATGGCTTTGTTGCGGTACTCCCAAATAACTGTAAACCATTCATTTAATTAGATCGGATGCGTAGAATCACCTATTATTTTCTATGAGGTAATAGATAGAATATATGTTTTGATTTCTAATTTTGTAAATTAGGATAAACAGCAGGTGATGTATGTATTCTAGTAGGCGCGGCTATGCTTTGTTGGGCTCTATGGTTGAATAGAAATGATGTGGTTTAACAAGACTAAGTCTAGTACTTATTTGCAGGTAATTTTCAGAGCCACGTATTGGATCCGTCAGGAGTCCCTACTGCACAAGGAGGAAGACCGGCCGTTGTTCAAGCGTGGATGTAGGAATTTCAAAACAATGGTTATGGCGGTTTTGGTAGAGTTTAGATGACGCTTTCGGAATCGAATTGAAGCGTAGGCCTTGTTTAGATATCCTCAAAATTCCAAGTTTTTTCACTCTCTCTCCATCACATCAATTTTTAGCCGTTTGCATGGAGCATTAA